ATGCAAATATGTAACGCGATAGTTTTTCAAGAGTTTTTCCATATATGCACTATTTTTTTCAGCTCTAATAAAGCTATTTGACACTTTAAAGTAACATTATAAAGATTAAGTTAGCTCATGATCTGTTTTACAGACAGGTGTGGCGGTTTACGCTGCACTCCAATTTTAAATTTAGAATCGTATTATGAAAAAATTGAGAGAAAAAATAGTATAAATAATACTGATTTAGGAAATTACAAGCATTTAAAATGACATTATATTATCAATAACATAATCACTATTATTTAAACACGCAATTTGCAAAAGAAAATCGTAAGAATTTTATTTTCGTATTTGTAAAATTTGTTTTTAGCTGATTTGATATAAAAACAAGCCACAAATATACGAATTATGAATTTGTACTTCCTTAATTAGCTAAAAAGATCATTATTTTATTAGTATTAATAAAATACAGTAGTTAGTTTCTGAGAAATAAGGGATTATCACTTTAGAAGACCTGTGTCAGTATCGATGACTTTCCTCTACATTTAAAATTGGCTTAAATATAATTTGTGATTGGCTTCCCGTACGGAAAAAAACTATAGAATGCCAATAGTAACTAATGGAATGCCGATAGTAATTATTAGAATGCTAATAGTAACTATTCAACGACAATAGTTATAAGCATTCAATACTACTGCATTGAGTGCTGTAACACTAATAATAAGTAGTTTCCACTATGCAATTAAAAACTATTGATCAATGTTGATTTGGAGTTTTTCGGTTATAACTTGTCAAAAAGATTCGATCATATTAGATGTCAGTTTGTTAATAATGTTCTAAAATTGGAATTAAATGATTCCTATAGAGAAATAGACTTTATTCGTACACAGTTGTTTCGACTCACATACGATATATCCCTATATATGTTGCTTATCTATTAACATTTATAATTCCTTTTTTTTAATAGACAAGAAAGATCTTCCTATTTCCTTTATGTACGTGAAAAAAGTAGAATTGATTCTAAGTGTAATTGATTATTGTTAAAATAGAAGAAGGAATTGTTAAAAAACCGTTTTAAAGATATCAAACTTATTTGCTATTATTAGAAAACGAAGACTGATGGAAATGTTGAACCTTGTAGTAATAAGAAATTAAAAAATGATTATTCATTGCCTTTGCACCCAGTTAGGCTCAATTCTACTAACACAACAGTTAATAAAATATATATTGAATCCCAGACCTTTTTTTGATCCCTTCTCCGTCATTCCTCTCACCAAGAAATGAGTGGTTCGTGAATTTGTTTCTACTTCAAAATATACAAAATTTTCTACAGCTGGGAGAGAATTTTGCCTTACCGGAGGTACTGGAAATAAATCGCAGCTAATATTTAATTTCATTAAGTGTATTGAAAACAATAAATATAAATTATCTATCTAAGCGGATCTCGGTTTCCCTTCCCATATTAAACAGTCTCGCGTCGTCTCCCATACAGCATAATGAAGTGGATAGAAAATTGTTAGATTTAGCTAAAGAAACTAAGATTTTTATTTAAAAATTGAATAATAGTGTGATTTTTACTCGGGCTGATAAGGGCAATGTCATCGTGGCTTTGGATGATAAAATGTATGTATCAAAAGTGACTGAGATGCTCCATGATACAGAGATGTACCCAGCAAACGAGAATGGATTAAAATGGATTGAAATTTTTTTCTATCCGAATGCACATATTTTAAATAGTGACTACTTTTTTTTGGATTTAATTGGATTCAATTGGATTCAATTAGATTCAATTGGATGCAATTGGATTGAAAAACTGCATTTCCTATTCAAAATTTTGAATTGAACAGTATTTATAATACAATGCATAGAAAAAGCTAATATTATTTTTAGATTGAAAGGCATAGATATATGCTCCATGCGATTCCTATAAATGAATAAAAATTCATTCAGGATTGAAATGCATTTATTTTAACATTTGTGAATCAATATTTCTGAAATCCATTTCAATTCATTCTCGTTTGCTGGGTATGAAGTCATTAAGAGAGATCCCACAAAGGGAGTTGTTACAAGTTTGCGGGAAATGCTTGTGAAGTGGAGGGATGCAGATTATATATCCAATTCAAAATACAAGATGCTTTGCAATGATAGGATAGATCTGAGAGTCTATGTCTTGCTAAAAATATAAACAGAATTGCCCTTTTCGTTTTATAGTTTTCTCATTGAATAATCCTCTTTACATAAATTTAAGATACATTGAAAATTGAAAACAAAACTGAATACAATAGTAGTGGACAATAGTAGTAAATCGGTAGCATATAATAGCAGTGCGAGAAGATTGAGAGACGACGCAGATGCGAGAGAGAACGTCTGCGTCGTCACTATAAGCGCTCCGCAAAAAGTAAGATACGCAATATTGAATATACATACGTAAGTACTTAATGTGCATATATACGTATATACATACGTACGTTCATATGCACGTTCATACATATGTACGTTTATATGTACGTTTATACATAGATACGTTTATACGTATCAGTGGTATGCGAAACTTCTGAAAATTTGTGGTAGGCATTACTATTTAAAAAAAAAGAGATTTATGATACATAAGTCTTATTACATCAGTTGCTCTGTAAACCGCTTCTACTACATAGAGCAGATTGCTTTTACTGTATCAGAGTATATACTCTACTCTCGAAAACGTCTCATGCTATGAATTATTACGTCCCAATTCAACAGGATGAGGTGTGCGAGAGACAGTAAATTTATTCAATTTTTATAAAATAAATAAAAAAAATGATATACTGTATACATACTTTTTATAAATTCAAATTTGTTTTTATTTATTTTATTATATGTTCTTATATTTAACTGTAAATAAATTTAATTTTGCAATCTTGCGATACAAAATATTAATTTGCACACTGCAAATTTATAAATGCATGTAAAGCTATTACAATGAGTCTCAAAATTACACGTAATGTTGTAATTATGCACAGAAATTTTTTATAGTATTAAAAATTTTTATGCATAATTTCAACATTTTATGCACAATAAAAGTAGTATTATGGATATTGGCGAGCAAGAGACACCGGGGTATCTTATTCGTACTAATAAAAAATATGTGAGACAGCGAAAGGACATCGCGAGCCGGTCTCACGCCCAATTACGCTTTCTCTTTCAATCGTGCACCTTGCGTTAAGAACAGAATATCGGAGCGCCCTTCATTATTTTCTTTCTTCGCGCTCCTCGTCTTCTCAGCGTTTCCAATACGTGTGCGCTTCGATACGAAAATGTGTAACGCCACATGCCAAATGCCAAGGGACATTATTTCTGCGTGTAGAAGATCTGTTGCAAAGATTGTGATGCGAACTATGTGGGACAAACAGAAAGACAGTTGAAGACGAGAATAGCTGAACACAGGAATCATATTCGGTGGAACACAATTACACATTTGATCATAACAAACCACCGATTGGAAGAGGATCACGAATTCGATTGGGAAAATATTGGGGCAATTTTGGATGAGGAACCCCAGTACAGAAAGAGATTGGCGTCAGAGATACACATCAGGAGACAGACACGTCATCTCAACTTGCAGATAAATTTGGAGGGGCTTCCCAAGACCTATTTTCTAATTGGAGGCGGACTATAAATATCGGAGCATTATTATCGCCAGCTAATTAAAGTATATTCTAATTAGTGTACATTCTTTGTTACGTTAAGATTAAATAATTAAAGATTCAATTATGGTTTTAATATTGTTTTGATGTTCGTGATTCTTTGAAGGAGCAGTTCCCATATGCAGAAATCAAACATACTAAGTGGAATATTTGGATGAGTGACCACATGGAAGCATCATAAAATTAATTCTCGAATTCATAAAGGAAACTTTTTTTTATTATAATTTTGTCGTGTTTCTTCTAAAATACTAGTAGGATGCTAATCAATAATATTTATTTTTGCAATAAAACTTTAGTAAAATTTTAATAAAATTTTAACGAAATTTTTTTCCACCAC